TGGTGGGAGTGCAGACTAGTACAACCTCTTTGGAAGACAGTGTGGCAATTTCTGAAAGAACTAGAAATCGACCTTCCATATGACCCAGGAATTCCCCTGTTGAGAATATACCTGGAGGAACTCAAATTATTCTGCGAAAGAGATACCTGCACACGTATGTTTGTTGCAGCTCTATTCACAAAAGCAAAAACATGGAACAAACCATGTTGCCCATTGAAGCCAGACTATGTAAAAAAAATGTGGTGCATATACACAATGGAATATATATGCAGTCATAAAGAAGGACAAATATATGAACTTTGCAGAAAATTGGATGGATTTGTAGTCTATCATACTCAGTGATTTATCACAGAAACAAAGAACTGAGTTCCATATGTTCTCACTCATAAGGTGATCTTGAACAACTGTAATGTTATAAGAAAGCGATTGGCAATAGTGGAAAACTGTCAGGGGAGTGGGGGTGGAACTGGCAGTTGAGGGAAACTACTAGGGGAGGGAGGGGCATATCTCATCAACAAGGGTACCTGCATGATCAATGTTTGTATACCTAACCCTGAATTGTACCCCACATCTTTAAAATAAATAAATAAATAAAATAAAAAGATAAAAGATAAAAAAGAAATCTCCATTCTGATTTCCATAGAAATTGTACTAATTTAAACTCCCACCAAAAATATATAAGTGTTCCTTTTTCATCATGTCTGGGCCAGCATCTATTTTTTATGATTTTTTAATAAAGGTCATTTTGACTGGTGTAAGATGATATCTTATTGTGGTTTTAATTTGCATTTCCCTGATAATTAGTGATGTTGAACAGATCTTCATGTTTGTTGGCCATTTGTATATCTTCTTGTTAGAGATGTCTATTTATGTCATTTTCCCACTTTTTCTCTTGCTGATTTTAGTTCTTTGTAGATTCTGGACATTAGTCCTCTATCAGATGTATAGTTTGCAGATATCGTCTCCATTCTGTAGGTTACCTATTTGTTCTGTTTATTATTTCTTTTGCTGTGAAGTTTTTTAGCTTAATTAAGTTCCACTTATTTTTTTTTTTTTTAATTTTTAATTTTTTTTGCATTTGCTCTTGTGGTTTCAGTCATTAATTCTTTCCTAGGCCAATATCCAGAATATTTTCTTCTAGATTTTCTTCTAGAATTGTAATGGTTTCAGGTCTGACATTTAAGTCTTTAATCCATCTAATTATTAATTAGATCTAATTAATTTTTCTATGTGGTGAAAGATAGGGACCAAATTTCATTTTTCTGCACATAGCTATCCGATTTTTTCAGAATAATTTATTTTATAAGGTTGTTCTTTCCCCAGTATATGTTTTTGTCTGCCTTGTCAAAAATCAGTTGGTTATAGGTATATTAATTTGTTTCTAGATTCTCTATTCTCTTCCATTGGTCCATGTGTCTGCTTTTGGACCAGTGCCATGCTATTTTGGTTACCACAGCCTTATAGTGTAATTTGAAGTCAAGTAACGTGATGCCTCCAGCTTTGTTCTTTTTTCTTAGGATTGCTTTGGCTATTCTAGCTCTTTTTTGGTTCCATATGAATTTTAGAATTGTTTTTTCCAATTCTGTGAAAAATGATGTTGGTAGTTTGATAAGGATTGTGTTGAATCTATAGATTACTTTGGATAATATGTTCATTTTAACAGTGTTGATTTTTTTCAATCCATGAGCTTGGGATGTTTTTCCACTTGTGTCCTCTACAACTTCTTTCATCAGAGTTTTGTAGTTCTTGTAGAGCTCTTTTACCACCTTGGTTAAATATATTCCTAGGTATTTTAGCATTTTGGTTGTAATTGTAAATGGAATTGAGTTATTGATTTGATTCTCAGCTTGGTCATTATTGGTGTATAGCAGTGCTACTGATTTGTATGTGTTAATTTTGTGTCCTGAAACTTTACCAAATTCATTTTTCAAATCTTAGAGTACTTTGGAAGGGTCTTCAGGATTCTCTAGCTCTAAGTTGGCATACAGAGAGTTTGATTTCTTCTTTTCCAATTTGAATATCCTTTAATTTTTTTTCTTGCCTGGTAAGGAACAGGTTGGTGGAGACAACTTGCCTTGATGCAAAAGCAAACAAATTACCATCTCTTGTCTAGCTCTGGCCTGTGGCATGAAATGATTGATGCTGTGGTTTTGAGCAGGTTCTTCCTTTGTCTCAGAACACTTATGGGCACATATCTCACAAGGCATGTGGACAAGTTCACAAACATCATCTTTCCACACCACGGTTACATGTTGGAATTGAGTATACTGCCAATAGCAGTCCAGGGACCTCTGCTCCCCTCAGCCAGGCCTAGAATTCTTCCCAGGAAACCTTTTCCAGAAATTCATTTTAGAATATTTCATTGGGTAAAACAAATTTTGGCTTGGTCCTGCTCCTCACTTCCATATACAGAGTATTACACTGATTGCTATGGGGAATTTTAGTGAATTATTAGACCAAAGATGATCTTTTGAATATTGATTCCAGTCATAAAGACTTTACTGGCCATAAGGATACCTGTCAGGTTTTAGAAAAGTCCATAGATACTTGCAGCTATGATAGAGCCTATAAAAGAATGTGAATTGTGATGAAGCAATGGTATTTTTGTACCTTTTTGTTGTATGTGGTAGACGCATTTTTGCCCTTGTCATCCTTGTTATATGGATTTCATAGCCTATAGAGAAACCCTAGTGTTATTTGATCATGGAATACACAGCATGGTCAGTTTCAAGCTCAGCCTGTCCAACTGAATCTTGCCCTCTTCTTCATTAAACACTTAATTTCTTCTCCAAATATTGTTATATTGCCTGAAGTCCTAATCTTAAAACCTTGGACTCACTTTCATGTCTACTCTGCTGTGTTTCATCATGGGAAAGACAGAGTTGAAGAGTTCAAGTAGGAGCACTAGCAACATGAGATATCATCAGAGTGGAGCACCCAAGCACGGGCAGACCTGTGTCACATGAGCTGGTTCTAGGTCAGAACCAGGTGTTCCCATGCTTGCCTAGTGGCCATGCTTGCCACAAAGACTCATACCTGGCAAGGGAGAAGAAAGAAGGTGGGGAAGGAGAGAGGCAGAAAGGCTAGTCAGACGAGAGTACCCAAATCACTGTACTTATACTAGCGCTGAATTTATCAATTTTTAAAAGAGAATAACTGTATTGATACATTTTGGTTTTTGTCTTTATATTAATTAGAATATATTTGAGCACTAGTGGGGATAAACTATTGGCAATGTATATAGCTTTGTTGAGTAGTACTTCAAAGAGATTGCTCTCTTAACAATCCCGAATGATAAATCATCTCTATTTTAATAATAACTCTTTTCAAAGTTGACAAGAACAGGAAGGAATGAAGTGTGCCAGCTACTCTAATAGGTCCTTCCACATACATTATCTCATTTAATCTCCAGAACAATGCTTCTCTTCTAAGTATTTATTATTCCCCATTTTTATAATTTATAAATTGCCCAAGGTAATGTCAAATCCATCTCTGCCTCTTGGGGGCTGCTTTTTTCTGTGTCTGGTAGAAATTCACGTGCTTAGCACCTGAGATAGGTTTCCTTTGTTTTTAAGGCTGGAACTTGGTTTATTTGGAGCTCAAATTTTTTGAGTCATTTAATAGGTTTTTTCTACTTGACCAATTAAAATAGAGAACTAAGAAATATTTCCTCTATCTTCATAGAAACAGATTTGCTTATCCGAGTTTTAGGCAGATCGTCTCTTGTCCTCCACTTTGCTCAGGTAGATATAGCTAAAGTTATAGCTGGAAAACAAAAAACAGCTGAAAAACAAAAGCACTGTTTTCTCTCATCCTTTCATCTTCGTTTGTATATTATGCCAAAGTTAGCTCTTAAAACTTTAAATTCTAGAATACAGTTTTGAAGTAAACCAGTCATGTATATTAACTATCGAGGTGTTTTATCATTTCTTAATCAACCCATTATGATAACCTTATTTTAACTTTTCTTTCTTTTTAATGCATCCAAAAGTCCCTTATTTACTTTTTTAACTACAGCAACACTTTGAGCAGGTAAGTATCTGCTGCTTCTTCATAACAATGCTTTATGGCTATTTAAAAGATGTTTTTTGTGGTATATCCAAGGACACTAAACTAAAGGAGAAGTTTCAACTACCATGCCTATGGGAGGAGGCACAAGTAGAGCCATGGTATTTAGCCTTCAGTGATCCCCAACATTCTGAGGCTATTAAAAGATATGGATACTCTTTCTGAAAAGCATGCATAGATACAAAATTTTAACTACCATGTTCAGGGTGTTTAAGTTAGCAGTTCTGAATTAATCCTGTTTTAACTACTGATTGTTAAGGGGCATAATTTACATATTTATTTACTCCCTTACAAATTTGAGATTTATGACATGTATTACAACCACCTTATTTTTAAAGATAAGCATAGTTGTTTTTAAGAAGAACTTTTTAGACTTAAATAAAGCTTTAGAAATGATTTGTTGCACAAACTAGTATTTTTTTTTTTTTTTGAGTTGGAGTCTCACTCTGTCGCCCAGACTGGAGTGCAGTGGCCGCTCCTGGCCTCTGCAGCTTCGACCTGCTGGGCTCCGGTGATCCTTCCGCCTCAGCCTTCCAAGTAGTCGAAACTACAGGTGTGCTCTACCACACCCGGCTGATTTTTTGATTTATTGTAGAGACGAGGTCTCGCTGCCTAGGCGGGTCTCGAACCTGCGGGCTCAGAGAATCCACTCACCTCAGCCTCCCAAAGGCGCGGGATTACAGGCTGAGCCACCGAGCCCAACTACAAACCAGTATTTAACTACACATATTTCTTTAGTGTTAATAGAATTTTCTATATAATAGTTTTTCTATTAAAAGATAAAGCTAAACTAGTTCATTCAAATTTTTTGCTTACATTTTAGAGATGGGAATGAATAGGAGCTGTATATTTAGCATTCATTTGCTGTGTAAAATATGGCTTTATCTTGAAAAATGCTCTCCATCCCTGATTAGCATCTTTTTGCTTTGTAGATATGGAACACAATCCTTGGTTACTCTAATGTATACAATAGGGAGAACTATAAGTACAGATTTACAGATCATAAAGGTAAGTCCTTTAAATATTATGAAGTATAATGATCATTTGGAAACCACTTTTTATATAATTTGGACCTGCTAAAATTAAAAATAATATGCTTATCTGAATTATTATATTCTATGCTCCCATTGGTGTTACATTGCTGTAAAGGAAGTATTTTTTAATTGTATCCTGCTTTTGAAATAGAAACCACTTGTTCATGGAAAGTTGGACTTCATTCTTTCTCACCTGAATTACTGCAGTAGACTCTGGCCCAGGGTCCCTATCCCAGACTGTGCTTGCTTTCATCCCATCTTTCCTATTGCTGCCAGTCTTTTCTCCTGTTCCCAAAGCTTCAGTATCTCTTTGTAGTTTTTAGAATAAATTTAAAAATTTTTTGATTAGCATATGATCTGGCCTTTGGCTTTGTTTTTGCCCATCTCACCACCAAGTGTCAGAGAGCAAGAGAGACAGAAAGACATCCCCAAACGCTTTTCCTCTAGCCATACTGTGCCACTTACAATTTTTTAAAAATTATTGTGTTGCCTCACATTTTCTAGATTTCAGAAACACTCTACCTTCTGTATGGGGAACTCTCCCCATCCCTGTCTTTGGCTAGATAAGTCCTATTCATCCTTCAAGTTCCTGCTCCAACTGCCTATTCGAGGAATTTTTAAAGACACTGATTTATAACCTTTCTTCATCCATACTCCCAAGTCATCCTATGAATATTGTTACCTATGAATAATGCTTAGCACATTATAATCAGTGGTAAATATGGCTACCCCATGGGACTATTGTTAGTTCCTGAGGACTGAGATCATATCTCAGTCATATCCATTCTAGAATCGAACACAGGCCTACCGTGTCTTTGCTTTGCTTTCCTCTGGATTGAATTTCTTCTTAGGCAGGCATTTTCTACTGTAAAGACAAGCATCCAAGCTTACTTGATCCCTAGCGCCCTCAGTTGCAGAAGGAAGAATTCTTTTTCACTCAGTTTCAAGTTCCTGCCCTGAAAATGGACTTTAGTTGGTCCTACTTGGGTCACAGGCAGCAATATACTGTGTTCAGGAAAGATGAAATGCCCTGATTGGTCTGGCCTGGGTCATTGTTCCCCTACTAGGAGCCAGTCCTACCAAGACCATAGGCACCAGGAAGAGGAAGAGGAAATTCTAGAAGGAAAAAGAAGACACTATAACCAGAAAGTAATCAAAGGGGCAAAAGCAAATATCGACAAGACACACACAGAAACTAATGCAAGAATGAAACATAAATACAACCTCTACACATTAGTCAACATAGGTAAAATTAGAAAGATATGTATTACCAAACGCTGGCAAAGATGTGGAACAACTGGAACTTCAATCCTGCTGGGGCGAATGTCACACAGCACAACTACTTCAGAAAACAGACAGTTTTAAAAAAATGTTTATCAGACGTATATGATCCACCAATTCCACTTTTAGGTTTTTACTCATGAGATATGAAAAACCTATGTCTACACACAGAGTTGTATATGAATGTTCACAGCAGCTTTCTTCACATTAGCCAAAAACTAGACACCATCTAAATGTTCATCAATAGGTGAATGAATAAGGAAAATATAATATATCCACACACAATGGAATTACTATCCCAAAAGAAAAAAAGAAAAAGTTTGTGTAGCAACATAGGTGAATCTCAAGGTGATTGTGCTGAGTCAAAGAAACCAGTCACATTCTGGGAAATGCGGACTAATTTACGATGACAAAAGGCAAATCAATAGTTGTCTGGGGCAGAGGGAGGGATGGACTGCAAAAGGGCCTGAGGAAACTTCTTTGAGTAGTGGAAATGTACTATCTCTTGATTATGGCTGTGGTGGCAAGGGTGTACACATCTGTCAAAACTCATTGACTTGGACAGTTTATTTATGGTACATAAATTATTACCAATACAATTGATGAAAATTAAACACTAAGACCTAGAACTATGTTAATAAGAACAGGAAAGGCCTATGTAAATAAGGAAAGTTAACTTTCCCTGAGCAAAATAAATAAGTAAATGTGTAGCTCACAAAGGCCTGAAATTTGATTCTAATAAAAAAAAAAGGAGAAACAGTCAGTTATGTCATTGTTATCATGAGAGAGGAGAAACCTCTAATTCCCCAAAAAATGATCTTGGAGTTTTGGTATGCCTGAGGCTGAGCTGTCAGGACCTGATTTCTCAGGAATTCTCTGGACAAGGGAGAGGAAAGCAAACCACACTCAGAACATGCTGGAATGAAAGCTCCCAGAATCAAGACTGAGTTTGAATTTGTATCTTCTAAAGTGCATCCGTTCAATCTTTGCCTCTATAGAATTCAGTAAGTTTCGTTATGGTTGCTTAATGAATGAATAAATAAAGTTTGTATAAATTTAGCAATCCTAAAAGTTTCAAAACTTTGTAGTCACTGATAGTTTAAGAAATGCAAAAATGGATTTAGTAATTGTTAGGTTACCGCCATTTTAAAAACAAATGTATTAGCTATGATGAATATCCTTGTCAACCACATAGTTCTGAGTCGATTTTCTCTTCCTCAGCTCTACAGTTTTTGTATACTTTCTGCAGCTCTGGCTCTGGTCTTTTTGCCCCACCCTTTCATAAGCCTGGCCTCTCCCATGCCCTCAAGTATACATGAAACACACCTACAATCTCACAGACCTCCACCCCCACCTCCTGCCACCACTGCAGGAGCCCAATCATAGGTGCACCATCAGTGATGTGGAGCTGTGGGTTTGTGACTCCCACCTCCTGGCAAGTGTGAGTGGGGGAAAAAAAGAGCAAGAGGCTTGTTCCTGGCTCCTTAAATTACTTTTCCCTAGAACTTTACCTTTTTTTTTTTTTACATTGTAATTAGGTGTGATAGCCCTATTACTATTCAATTTCAAATGTATTAGAGTTTAAGTGAGATTTTGTGAGTTGGAATAGAGACTGTCATCTTATGATGGATGATAAGTGCTTTGAGTTCTAATCCACTGACACAAAAATAGACTTTTGGAATGTAACTTATTATTCAGTTGGAATCTGACTTATGCATAATATCATGACAGATGCTCCCATACTGAATTCTTACGTGGTCCAATGAGGTAATTTAGCTGGTGAGCAAATCTGCTATCCAAATATTCTCAAAAGATACCAACATTTTTAAAAACACAAATATTATGTACCAATTTTGAGCTTTGGGAGTTGCATAGTTTCTTTTGAGTTTAAAAATAAGTGTCTCACTACCTCTCTGTGTGCAAATCTTATATAATACTCAATATGCATTCAGTCAATACTTACAGAGACCAACCATGTTCTTTGGAGCTAGATAATAAATAAGACAAAGTTCCTGTTTCCTGGCCCTTTCAGTCTACATCTGCTTCTTCAGGGTGGGTGTGGTGTTCATCACATCGTCTCCGTCATATTTTCCCCAGGAACACACGGTTTAGGAGTACCCATTTCTACTCATTCCAACCATCATCGCCACTTTACAAAATCATGTTGCCACTTAGCATTGACACATTTACTTTGTCCAAATGAGAAGTTACATTGCACTGATCAGATGTCTCTCTGTACTTCTAGCTGCAGCAGTTCTTCAGTGACATGTTGGAGGAGCACCAGAGGACCGAAGTGCATGCCAAATTACAGACAATAAAGAATGAAAATCTGAAAAACAAAAGGCAAAGTGCCAGGATAGCTGAGTGGCTACGGAGAAACACATAGCTTGCGGCTACTTCAGCATGCCTCTTGCATATTGTAATGTAGTTTGCTCAGTTTTATCTTCCAATACTTTTTGAATCTGGAAAACTACACATCTTATTATTTGTATTTATCTCCGTCACACATATTATTCAGAGTGCTGTTCTTCCCATATTGCCATTATTTGGTTCTGAGGCTTGGGGATTGCAGAGGTTTTCCCAACACTGCTGTATTTCTGGGGAAAGATTTCATTTAAGATTGGGCTATAAATTCAGAATTTATTTTAACTGCCTTGCAAAAGTAAATTTATCTAAGAAAATCTAGATTATTTTGTTGTGAAAGCCAGTGGAATATTAAATTATCAGCATTAATGAAGAATACATTCTTTACTGAGGGAAACACAAATTTTTCAATGTCCTAGCGTGTATTTAGTTCAATATTAAAAAGAGTAATGGGACAATAGCATAAGAGTATCTAGAAAGAGAAACCCGAAAAAATATTTGCTATAAGACAGAAAAGCAAATTTGAAAAGAGCAATTTAATGAGCCCTAAAGGCAAGAAATGAGTTTTCTCCTGCCCATTTCTCTCCCACACAGTACCTACCTACTGCATTGAATCCCACTTTGCTGGCTACTGGATTTCATGGTGTCACAAAAAGACTGTAGCATCCGTGAAGTGCCCTTAAGATCGCTGTTGTGGAGACCAAAATGGAGACAAAGACTCTGTCCTGAAGCTCTTAACTGTGTATTCACCTGTGGGGTGGACACTTTTTCAGTCAAAGCTTATGAGTGAAAATAATGTCCAAAGACAGTAGCAAGTATGGGCTAATAAGAAAATCTGAGAAACTGAGAAATGAAGAGAAACTGAGCTAGAAGGCTAACTAGAGCATAATCTTTACAGTTTTGCACTCAGGGGATAAAGTTTGACACATGATGTCTTTTAGCCAATTGAACTTACTTGTAAATGAACCCACTTTAAAAATTTTCATCAGTCACAATGTATGGAATTAGCTTAGTTTTGTTATGCCTGATTAAAACAGGACAACTAAAGTAACTCTTTCCTACTGTAGACTTTGGGTGTGTATGATTTAATCCTTTATTTTTATATAAATTTTATTTTTGTTTTTGTAGAATGAAGGTAAAACTACAGATCTCCTATCTAACTCAGGGCAATAATTGTAAAAATGAAGAAATATCATGTCAATTAAAATTCTTTAAAGATATTATATAAACTCAAGGCATTGTGATCTAAGACTTTTTTCTATCTTTTGTAAGTTAAGACAGCCACAAACTGAAATGCAACAGGAAAGTTTACTTTTGTATTTGCTGCAACAAAAAGATGTTCCCTGAGTGTCACCGGAAGGTGGTGAGACTTCACCATGGAGACAAACCAAAGCATAGGCTACTCAGGCTTGACTACAGGCCATAAATCAGAAAATTTTTCTCTTTAAATTTAGAAATGTAAATTTTAAGCAATAAACTATCTCCATGCCTTCAAATTGTTATGTGTGGGATACTTTTATGTGTTTTCTCAAACATGTGTTCTATATTTCCCATGTTTCCTCTGCTAACAAAACTTACCTTTCTACAACCCTGTCTTTGCATGTCCTCACAGCTGCTTTTCTCTTCCTCCTTTTCCTCTCTTAGTTCATTTTGTGTTGCTATAACAGAATACCTGAGACTGGGTGATTTTTCAGAACAGAGATTTATTTATTACAGTCCTGGAAGCAGAGGAATCCAAGGTTGAGGGGCCCACATCTGGCTGGGGCCTTTTTGCTGTCATCCCTTGGTGGAAAGGGAGAGGGAGAGAGAGCAGGCCGGAGAGAGAGGGTATGAAGCTGAACTCAGCCTTTTTATCAGGAATCTCTTCTTGCAATAACGAACCCACTCCTGCCATAATGACATTAATCTACGCATGAGGGCAGAGCTGATGATCAGATTACCTCTTTAAAATTCAGCTTCTCAACACTATTGCACTGTGATTAAGTTTCTAATACATGAACTTTGGGGAACACATTTAAATCTGTCCTCCATTTTCGCTCCCTTTCTTTCTCCCTCAAGCTCCCATGTCTTCCTTTCTTCCCATTCTCCTCTTTTCCAGTAACCTCTGCCTTCCTCCTGCCTGGTTGTCCTTGTCCTCTCTTTGGACTTCTAACCCTACTGTGCGCTAGATACACCAAGTCCACTTTGAGGCTGACACTCAGGGCTACGAGGGCTCTGACATCTGGTTTGGGGTGATGCCAAGTACTCCTGCTCTTTCCAAAAAAACATGTAGGCAGTTCTCTCCAGACTGATTAAAATGAAGTAAAGTCCCATTACATCTTAACTTTTGTAGTAATTAAACAGTACTGAAGTTGTTTCACCAAAATCGAATGTCCAAATGTTTGATTAATAGTCTTTATTCTAAATATGAAAAAAAATTGAATAATGTATCTTCTCTGACTTAAATAAAACTAGTTACTCAAGCACTACATTTTATTCTATTTTTTTTTCACCTTTATTTTAGATTCAGGGAGTACACATGCATGTTTGTTACATGGACACACTAAGTAGCAGTGGGGATTGGATCTCAGGTTGTCCATTCCCCGGATAGTAAACATTATACCTCATAGGTAATTTCTGAACCCTAACTCCCCTCCTCACCTCCCCCTTACTGGTGTCCCCAGTGTCTATTATTTCCATATTTGTGACTATTTAGCTCTCACATATGAGTGAGAACATGCAGTGTTTGGTCTTCTGTTCCTGAGTCAGTTCACTTAGAATGATGATCTCCAGCTCCATCCACGTTCCTGCAAAGGACAAAATTTCATTCTTTTTAATGGCTGCATAGTATTCCATGGTGTGTGTGTGTTTGTGTGTGTGTGTGTGTGTGTGTGTGTGTGTGTATGTCACATTTTCTTTAGTCAGTTGCTGGTGGGCACTTAGGTTGTTTCCATTATTGCTATTGTGAATAGAAGCACTATATTTTATCATATCTTACCATGTGCTTAGTATAAAAACAAGAGGTTGTTGATTGGTTACTTTGATAGCAACAAGGCAGTAATAAATCAGGGAGTGATACTGAGAAAGATTTGTCCAAATGGCATAAATGCTTTATTAACCAATAAAACCAGTTTATCTATTAATAGCCACTAACAACAATTTCTTTAACCCAACCAGTTTACTTTATACTTTTCATCCTAAAAGTAGTTAGCAAAATGTACAGCATAATCATGACTTTTTTCAATTTTGTAATTAGAAATTAAAATATTCCTCACAATCTTATACTTTTTCCTACCCAAATTCATTCAGTGACTTTCCATTGTTGACTTTAAATGGTAGAACTAATCCCTTAGTCTGATGTTAAAGGTCCTTTGTACCTTAGATTTTGGGACCATTCTGTATAGTGATTTATTCTGAAAAATGAATGAAGAAGCAAAGTGAGATCTCACTTAAAAGGGAGTTCTATGAGTTTCATGTCAGGGACAAACTAAAAAAAATTAAAAACAATTTTTAAAAAAGATGTGGAGTACAATTCAGCATTAGATAAATAAATGATCACCACGCAGGTAAAGTTTGGATCTACTCTTTGGGCCCCACTTTGACTGGTTTGAGATCAGGTATCCTTATTGATGTTATATGTCCTCCCTCCCCTGGCAGCATACTGCTACTGCCAAATCCTTTCTTATGGTATTATGATAAATGTTCAGGGTTTGCTTATAAGTGAGAACATGTAGCACTCAGTTCTTTGTTTCTGTGATAGAACACTGAGTATGACAGTCTAAATTCATCCAAGTTTTTGCAAATCCATAATTTTGTCCTTTATGACTGCATAATGTTCCATCGTGTATATGTGCCATATTTTTTTTTATCCAGTCCATCCTTGATGGGCAGCATAGTTGGTTCTGTGCTTTTGCTATTGTGACTAGTGCTACAGTAAACATGTGAAACAATTCCAACCAAGAATTTTCTTTCCAGCTAAGCTAAAAAAATTTTTTTAAAAGAGAACTCTGGTTACTTTTCCTGTCTGGCCTACTCTTTGCTCCAATAAATGCTATCTTTTCCCCATTCAAATGCCAGCAGGATTAATATGTCCAAAGCAAAGTATATATAACTGCCTCTCCACACAAAGAATTATGTAGAGTTAGCAGGAACATTTGGAACCATACATATATTGCTTCCAGTTCACCCTTCTCTTGAATTCAACAAGACTTAGCAAAGGTCATCTATACCACACACAAATCTAGGACTTATTTGGGCTGCCCCTCCCCTTCCCTTCTTAATGGCAGCCCTAGAGGTAAAAGAGAGAAAGTGGGGCATCTGCAACCAGTGAGAACCAAGGGGTAGATGTGGTGGGCCGTGATTTGCAGTGAGGCATTAGAGCTTGAGTGGGGAGAAGAGGGAGTGCATGCACAGGGCAAGAGCTCATGCATCATGCCAGTGCCCAGGCAGAGTGACCACATGGAGGGGAAGGGAGTTATATCATGGCGAGTCTGAGCCAAACAAGGTAAGAAGGACAGATATCTATGCAGAGTGGGCAGCCTAGTAGGACCGGTGAGAGCCCAGACAGGGCGAAACGTGTGTCTGATATGGAGAGGAGCACCCAAAATGGGAAGTGCAAATCCTAGTGTGGCAAGGAGGATGTCCAAATTTGAGGGAAGTGGCTGAGAATGAAGTATCAGAGCCCGAGGAGGATAACAAGGGCGTCCACAAGGGGAGGGAGGAAAGGCAGATACGGGAAGTTGGTTGCCACAGGAGTATGGATCAAAAAAGAAATATACACATCATAATAGGATCCAGGCTTCTCACTATTGGAGAGGGGAGTTACAGATATTCAGAAGAAGGGAACAAGAATGAATCTTGTTTTTGGAATCAAACTAGAGGTATGGGTGTGGAGTCATGGTTTTCAATATATAGATAGATTTATAAAGTATGCAATAAATAGCTATAAATGTGTAAAGACATATTTTGCTCTTTCTCCATCTCTCTCAATATAGATAGATACGAATGATATTGATATAGACCCTAGCTTTCCCACTGAGAGGGCCTGGGCACAGAAACACCTTTGTTATGGAATGAATATGTCCCCTCAAAACTCATGTTGAAGCTCTAACCCCCAAGGTGATGGTATTTGGAGATGGGAACTTTGGGGGTAATTAGTTTTGCCTAAGGACATGAGGTTGGAGTCCCCAAGATATAATTAGCACCCTTATAAGAAGAAGAGACACCAGAGCATTACTTCTACCTCGATGTGACTGCACCCAGAAAGGCTGTGGGAGTACACAGAGAGAAAACAGCTGTCTGCAAACCAAGAAGAGAGCTCTCATCA